GGGCGCCATAGGAAGAGTGGGTCCAGCTTCCAGGCTGTTTGCGGTCGCCCAGTTTCGATGCAGGCGGGAAGACAGTGACGACAATGAGGACTGCCGCGACGAGGGGTCAAGACGTTCAAAAGACTGAGCTTCTGAATGGCTAGGCGATGAGCTTCGAGCAATGGGAGACATGTCTTTTAGGGCGTCAGGTTGATTGACTTGGCCGGAAGCACATGTAGTGCTGATTGCCAGGCTTGGGACGCCATGGGCATCGTCGTCTCCACCAACGAGTCTATCGATTGACCTCGCGCGGCTATGTTCTTTTGGGGGCTTTAATTTGTCTCTGCTTCTCATGCTGTTGACGACACGCCGTGGCAGACCACCAAATAGACCACCCAACTGTGAGCCACCAGGTGTGTCTAGAGCCGTTGGGGTACCGGGTAGAGCTGGAGGAAATCCTGGAGATGCGGTTCGACCGGGAACCAGATCTGCTTGACGAATGGTGCTTATGGAAGAGATGGCGCGGTCTTGCATTGGCGGTCGCTGTTGGCTCTCCAGCATCTGGGCGGGTGATGCAGTACGGGAGTTGGGACTGTCAAAGTATCTTGACCTTTCTCTCGCCTCCGGACTTGCTGTAACACTGTGAGAGAGCGGATGCTCAGCTTCACGCGAGCGAGTCAGAATCTCTAGGATAGCACCGGGTGCTAGACTGCCACGTCGGCCTTCGTAGGGCCGGGCGTCTTGACTGATGGTACTACTCGAAGAGTTTGCGCTGATGTTGGGGGGCGCATCCTGGTTGGTAGCTGAGCTCTGCGCACGGCGCCTTGAACCTGAACTGCGAGTTGTGAAACCTTTGACAAACTCGGATGTCTTCTTAGCGGCTGAGCGGAGGCGGTCGACGAAACCAATAGGGACAACGGCCTCTTCGACATCCTCTTTAGAAATCTGAATCCTTCTTCCATCATAGGACTTGCTAGGGTCTGTCTCTTCTGCCCATGAGATGTGGTTGGGAATACCGGATAGCAGCCACGGGTGGCGCTTGATCTCTGGTATAGTGATGCGACGTCGCGCATCCTTGATCAGCAATCGTCGCAGTAGGTCACGTAAGTTTTCATCCACCTCTTCGTATTCGAGATCATGCGGTGCTCTCTTGGTGCTCGTCATTGGCTGACTGTTGCGTCCGTGTGAGTTGGGCCGCGAGTTTGATTGCTCAGCGACGGGTTTCAGCCGATACCTAGGGATGTAGGGCTCATCTTCGCTGATGACCTTCATCAGCGTGAATGTGTTCGTGTCGTGAAAAGGCACGCGCCCGTAGATAAGACAGTACAGCGTGACGCCGAGAGCCCAGATATCGATCCCGCCGTCGATGAGGGGAGTCTCTGCGTCAATCTCTGTACGGCAGAGCTCGGGGGCGTAGAAGGCCGGGGTTCCCACAGTCTTCGCCAACTCAATAGCTTCGTCAACCTCCTGGTAGTCCGACTCGGAGTGTTCGCCGTTGCTTTCATCAGTCTTTTGCCGTCCCAAGTACGACACACCAAAGTCAGATATCTTGATGCGATGCTCCCTGGTTACAAGAAGATTGGCAGGTTTAATGTCTCTATGGATGACGTTTTGATAGTGCAGGTATTCTATACCCAAGACAGTGTCCTTGAAAGCTTCCCAAGCTGCATGCATAGTCATCAGAGGGACGTAATTGAAGTGTTCAGGGATCTCTTCGCCAGAGTCGGTCACACGTGACGAGGAGCTGCCAGCAACGCTCGGTACGCGGCCTCGGATGAGCTCCGTGTCGTAAGGGCCGTACATGGTTCCCTCAAGCCCGTCGGCCCAAGAGTTGTTTACCGGCTCAGGCGATCGGAAAGCGGTCTCCATGTGGTCTTCGTGGTGGCCTGCGACGTCTGATCGCTCGCGAAACTGGACGCGGCTGTGCGGACGCTCGTCTTCTAGATGGGATGCTTGCGAGCCACGTCCGTTGTCGGAGCCCTCGTCTTCAGAGTCGGTTGCAAACTCCAAGCTCCAGGGTTGGTTGGAGGAGCCGTCTTTCCGACGTAGGTGAGCCTCTCTGGCCATGCGACGTTGTTGGCGGGCAAGCTTCTGGTGGGCGATGCGGATGATCCTTTCGTCTTCTAACGTGGCACTGTCATTGTCGAAGATGCCCTGGGACTCGCGCTTGAAGCGACGCCATTCGACGAGGCAGATCTCCCTGGCACCCTCAGTCCGCCACTTGACCTCGCCCAGCTCAACGTGCTCGAGTACGATATAGACCTTCTTCTTAGCTGGGTCATCTATAACCTCGAGTAAGCTGACAATGTTGGGGTGGCGGGCCTTTTTGAGGATGGCTATCTCGCGCTTGATCTTGTCTTCGTGGCTGTTGTTCTTGCCGAGGCGGCGACGTTTGGAGTAGCGGTCGACAATCTTGATGGCGACGTAGCGGCCGTGCACCAGGTCCTTGCCCAGCTTGACCTTGCCGTGAACGCCTCGGCCAAGCTCGTCGATAATCTCGTACTGGTTCACAATCTTGCGTCCGGAGACGGGGTCGGCCTGGACATCGGCAATGTGGGTCTCCTTGGGCGCCTGGCGGTGGGTATGGTGGAGCCAGGGCGTGGAATAGGTGCCGTCGTCGGGCTGGTCGGGCTCCTGGGAAGGGCGGCGGGTGGTGGGGTTGAAGAGGCCAGGGCTACTCACCGGTGAGTTGCCAACAGTGCGCGGGGCCGACTCCATAATGTCCCTGTAGTGCTCGTGGGAAAGGCCGAAGGCGCCGAGGCTGGACAGCGAGTTGGCAGCCGAGTGGGAGGGGTGGGAGCTGCGGGAGCGTACGATGGGCGGGACATAGGGCTGGGGGTACTGCTGCAGGTGGAGGGCAGCATAGGACTGGTTGGGGTAGACGGGCCCATCGCGGTGGCGGGGAGGGAGGGCGTAGGGGTGAATGGGGTCGACTGAGTTGGCCCGCACTGTCACGTTGCTGGCCGTCGAAGCGCTCGAGAGGTCTCGCATGAAAGCCGGGCGGTCGGGGGGAGGTGCAGCGGCGGGCGCGGCCTCGTTGACGGTGGAGAGCGAGGCCTGCGAGGCGTGGGCGCTCGTGCTGGGCGAGGGGTTCGAAGACGCGGGCGTGTCGCGGGGGATGGGCGACGAGTAGATTCGGAGGGGTTGTGGAGAGAAGTACGAGGGCTCTGGGTCGAGCGTGTGTATCTGCGATAAGAGGCTGGCGTTGAGGGCCTCTGGCACGGAAGGCACCTCAGAGCGGGGCGTGCAGTCGTTCTCGTCGTGCTGGTCTTGACTCGGCGGCGACGCGCCATGTTGCTGCTGCCCTTCTCTTTCTTCACCAGATGCCTCTGGTGCTTCTGGTGCCTCTGGTGCGTCCGCGGTCGGGGGGCACACAGTGGAGGCCGGCGACGAGTGCGCCTGGTCGTCCCGCACTTCCCCTTCCGCTGTCAGGCCCGCATTCGGGTCGACCATGGCAACCACAGCTTAGGACGTGTCAGCTCAGCAGAGGCGTGCAACCATGCCAGCCCGTCTACGGTTTGTCGAGGCGCACGTCGTGGGCGGATAGTCTCATGTCGCGCTGGGCTGGGCGGCGGCGGCGGTGTCACAGCGAGGGCAATGGCGTGGGTGTACTGGTGCTGTGAATCGACGTCGGGGTGAAGATGGTGACAGTGGGCCGTGGTGGGCTCAACGGCTCGATATGGATTTGGTTGAGAGACACGATCGGCTCACTTGCGCTTTTCCCTCTGGGGCAGTGATGGGCGGGATAGTCAAGAGTATTTCGGGCCCCATAGATGACGCTCTGAAGCGGGAGAGACACGCCGGGGCTCGCAGCAAAAGGTGGAGACGCTATGTATCGCGCTGGGCATAGGCGAAGACGCAGATAAAGGCCGTCAGGGCAGACAACGAGGCGCTGCACGGCAAGAGGGCAATGGCACCGGCGACCAGAGGCCTACAATGCGCCCGGTGGAGCGATTTCTTGTTGAGCGAGCCACGAGCGATATGGGCAACTTTTTGTCTTGGGGGATCTGCCACTCGACGGCAGCGAGAGTATCACCTACATGGTGCTAGCATGCAGGTGACAAGAACGGGTATGGCTGCATGCACTAGTCCCTCCTGCCCTCAACAACAGGTGGCGTTCAGCTGTTCGAGGGTGTGGTTCGTTTGCAGCGCCCTCGTCCAAACTGCTCTGCGCAGCGCCATCACCATGTGCCTGTGTCCTGATCCCAGCGGTGCGCGCGCATGGGTCGCCTCTGCCGCCTCCGGTTGCGTCGGCACCCGTCACTTGGGCCCATGCAGCAGCCATTAGATGAGGAAGCGCGATAAGCACCCTGGAGAAACTCTAAATCCCTCCCTGCAACATCTGCCATCATAGCACATGGCGACTGACGGACCCTCTCTAGCACAAGCCCTTCCCCAGATTTACCCTCGCTGAGCGTCAGGTACTCGCTTTGCTTCTTCGTTCCCGCTTCGATATCGCTCCAGGGCTGCCATGTCCAATCTCGCGCTATCGCTGCGTCACTGGCGCGCCCCGTATCGTCATTGTTGGGCCGGCACACACAGCCATCGTGCCACGAGCGTCCGAGGGGGGGCAAACTGACGGCTGGCAACAATCCCATCCAGCGTCCTCGCGCCCTGCTGCCTCCCCCTCGCCATGCCACGATGGCGCTCCAGACCGCCTGCAGTCACCGGTAGATTATCAATCGTGACCTATCGTGAGATTGACCGGCCTCGTACGTGCACAGTCGCACGGCGGTGCATGCTGCAAAGGCCAGCGCAGATGAAGCCGAGTCTAGGCGCCGCCCGTCTCCTCAGCAATCATCGTGAAAGTCCTAATCCGGTAAGGCACGCAGCATCAATTTTCTGCACCGGGGCGCGCTTGAGCTTGGATGCATGACAAACGTGACTGCCTGTGCAGCGCGCCAAGGAGCTAGACCACCGGCTTCGCATCCTCACCTCTGCTGCGAATCTCATCTCACTCTGCTCGCCAACCATTGCCCCGGCCTCCCGCCTGTGCGAGTTGTTTCTTGCTCTATTACCCAATGCCGACCCGCACCAACGCTGCGAGGGACACGAATCCGAGCGGGACTGGTGCTCCACCACGCGCTCCGTCCAACAGCTATCGTGACTCGACGCTAAACATCTTCGCTCTGCTGCTTGCCTTCCGCATCGTCAACGCACTAACCCTGCGCTCCTTTTTCCAGCCCGACGAGTTCTTCCAGTCCCTCGAACCTGCATGGCAGCTTGCGTTTGGCCCCGCCAGCAATGCCTGGATCACCTGGGTAAATCCGCTTCAGAGTGCTCCAGTCTCCCCAGTCCGCTCACCGTGGCCAGGAATGGAGATCCCAATTGCGGTCGTCCCTGCATCCAGCGCTATTCGCTGCCGTCTATCGAGTCGCGGCACATGGTGCTGACCTCTGTGGCTTGACCTTGCCTGCTAAAGCCGAACTACTCCTAGCTGCCCCGAAAGTTACCCAAGCCGTCTCTGCAGCCTTGCTTGATTGCTACACATGGAAACTTGCGGAAAAAGTCTACGGTCGTGGCAGTCGCACTGCCCTTACTACTGTACGCGACCATCCCGCAAATTTAACACTGCAATCTCTGATATTTGATCCCACCTACTTCTAGCTTGCATTGTCTGTCTGCAGCCCGTGGCAGTGGTTCTGCGCGACCCGAACACTATCTAATTGTCTTGAGACTACCATCACTTCTGTCGCTATTTACTATTGGCCTTGGCAGGGTGCAGCAACAGCTAGCAAGGGTCAGACGCATATTGCACACCACGACCTCGGCTCCCTCTCAGAGTAAGTCGTGGAATCAAAACACCCTTTGTCTGCTCCGCCACCACTTTAGGCTCATGCTCGTGCAGGTTGCGCCTGTCACTGCTGTTGGCAGCGCTTGCGTGTATTCTCCGGCCCACCAATGCACTCATCTGGCTGTCCGTATCCATCCCAGCTCTATGGCAAGCCTCACATCGGCTGCGCTATGTGTTGGTCCGTGAGATCCTGATTTGCGGGTAAGCCTTCCCTCTCCTTGCATCCGCTGCACGTTTTTCGTCCCCATAGTGCAAGGCTCCATTGCCGGGCTCTGCGTTCTCTGCAGACTACCGTGCCCCGAGGTCACCAGACCATAAACCGACTGACGATGCTAGCTCCGCCGTCCTGGTATTGTCAGTCGCGACCGATCGGCTCTATTACAGGGTCTGGACTCTTCCGCCGCTTAGATTTCTCTATTTCAACATCGCTCAGTCGTTAGCCGTCTTCTACGGGAGGAACCGCGGCGACTACTATTTGACCGAAGGTTTGCCGTTGCTCCTCACGACATCTTTGCCATTTGCCGTTGTTGGCCTGTGGCAGTCGTTGAGGGGCTTAGAGCCACGTAGCCCAGCCAAAGGCGACAGCCCGGGTAATACAGCAGCTTCAGGTCAAGATACTGCGGCCAGTCAGATACTAAGCCGTCTGTCATGGACGGCGATCGTCATGACTACTACGCTGAGTTTGATATCGCACAAGGAAGTTCGCTTTCTGTACCCAATCCTACCCTTCCTTCACATCATCGCCGCCAGGCCGCTCAGCAAGTTTCTACCTCCTCGCGCTGCGCTATCGCACAAAGCAGTCGTTCTGTTCTTGCTTGCTGTAAACATCCTACTTGCAGGCTATGCCTCTCAAGTTCACCAGCGTGGAGTCATCGATGTACTCGCCCATCTCCGCCATGAACATGAAACGCGCAACAGCCTATTACACGTCCATGGCAATAGCGATAATAACGTCGCTGCTGTGACCAATACAACAGTCGGCTTCCTCATGCCCTGCCACTCCACACCCTGGCGCTCCCACATCATCTACCCTGAAATCTCCGCATGGGCTTTGACGTGTGAGCCACCCATCGACATACCGCTCTCGCAGCGCTCAACCTATCTCGACGAGGCGGATGAGTTCTACATCAAACCTGGCCCTGTAGCTTGGCTCCGAGCCAATATGGAAGATGTACAGACGATCAAGGCGAGTGGAAGTAGGTCTGGTCAGCATTGGATGCGCCAGGATCCAAAATTTAAACGCAAGTACCGGCGTGAGTGGCCGCAAAACCTTGTTTTCTTTGAGCAGTTGGAAGGGACGCTGAAGGAGTATCTTGAGGGCACTAGGTACCAGGAGTGTTGGAGGGGTTTCAACAGCCACTTCCATGATGACTCGAGGAGGACTGGTGATGTGGTTGTCTGGTGCTTGGATGGCGTGTGAGGCGCAGACTGCACTCTTGTATAACACTGTAGCAAAATCACTCTAGTAGTGACATTATCTGTGGATCATCTAGATAATGTGACTTCCCATCAGTGCTCCTTTACATACCACGCAAGACGTCATCTCATCTGATCCTCGTCATCGAAACACCGAGGTCAACTATCCATGCCATCCAAGTGTCTTCGACTTATCCCTTCCTCCCCACTGATCCCGGAAGCCGCGTCGCGACGATCTCCTGACAACGAAACACGACCAGTACCAAAACACGGAGCAGCAACTATCCCATAGCGAATTTGCGTAAACAGCCCAGAGATATTCCGAAACACGAAATCTGCACCACGAAATCCACACTCCATAGACAACACAGTCAACCATCCCGTCTAGTTCCCAACACAATGACCTCATCGACCCTGCAGATCCACGGCCCACAACCCAAAAACCACACCTGGGGCAAACACTGCCCTGGATCCCAGCAGACCGGATACCCGTCCCTGTACCTGACGATGATGATAGCTTGCCACAGACGTACACACCTGTAAGTCTAGAACACCACGATCGTCAGGGCAACGAAAACGGGTGTCGATCTGGACCTCAAAAGACGTTTTGGGTATGGAGAAGAAGAAGAAGCAATGTGATGATTAGTGCTGTGGCTAGGCGGGGACCCGAACCAGACCCTGACCCTTGAGCGGAAGGGAAGGGAAAAAGGAAGACCACTGGGCATATGCATCGTGTTTTTGGCACCCGGGGGGGAAGGTCGTTTGGGGAAAAGTAAGGTTATGAGGGGAAACGCAGGGCATGTCATACAAAGGAAAAAAGGTGAACAGGTCTAGAGCCTACATCGACGTTAGGTCACCTACTTTGCATGTTTCCCATGTTGAATGTAGGCTGCAGACCTGTTCAGTATGTTCCTAGCTGGACGTGGGGCTCGCAGGCTTCACGGCACCAAAAAAGATCGATGAAAAGTCTGGATTCAGTGACTGGAGCTCTCGTGTTGAACCACACAGTTTGAGATGTATTGTTTTTCGCGTAGTATGACATAGGGAATAGGTTCCTGATAAAACCGATGTTCTTTGTCGGCAGTTGACCCCCTTCTTCCGATAACAACAGGAACGAGTAATGTTCAAAAGTAAAAGCAACAGACCAACCCAATGCACAATGAAAGAAAACACATCTCGCTTGGAGACAGAGAAGCCATGTTCTAGACCCCAATTAAAAGTATTCCGAGTTCAACGCCATGATCCCAATGCCCGTTGTTGATGATATGCTTCTTGAGCCTGGAACGCCGCGCTGAAACCTCAACTGAGCCGGCACGTGATCCGGCATGCCCAAATGCTCCTTTTCGAACGCCTAAAAATGCAACATGACCCAAGGAAAATATCAAGCCAAAGCGACTGCCTTTGCGCTGGTGCTTGAGCTGACTGAAGCCGGGGGTGTGGGTGGTGCAATATCGATCGCAGGCGCAACCCAGCCCTCCTTGCGAGCAATCCACATGACCAAATTGAGGTCAAAATTCTCGAAAAAGACCTCATCGAGGAAGCGAGCCTTTGCGCCGGCGTAGGTATGGTATTCCTCGCGAACTGTCTCTGGGTCGACGCCGAGGATCCTCCGGAAGCAGGCGATGGTGCATCCTGTGCGGTGCTTGCCCTTATTGCAGTGGACGAGGATCGGGTGGTTGGTACGATCCATGATGAGGCGCAGAGCTCGTGACATTTCGCACGATTCGACGCGCACTTCGCCTTTGTTGGCTTTGACGTGAACGTGGAAGTGCTGTATACCAGCCTCGTTCATGAAGTTTTGATACTCGGGCGAGAGTGGCTCAGGAACCAGGGTGAGGATGGTCTTGATTCCGGCTTCCTTAAGGTATTCGTAGTTCTCCTCTTTAGGATAGCTGCTACGATAGACGCACCCAGGGAGAACTGTGCCGTAGTTTGATGGAGGAGTGAGTGACTGTAGGCGTTCGGGTGCCGAACGGATGGAGACGGCCGGTGTGAGAGTGCCGTAAGACTCGGCTGTGCAGGTGATGGAACACTGGTGACCCTGAGGGTCTACGACAACCTTTAGGTCCTCGTGCGTAGTCTCGCCAGCGTGCTGAATGAGCCCGTCGCTTGCAGAGAGTCCGAGAGAGGCGACGAACTCCCTGATTCTTTCGAATACGCTTTCCTGAGCGTTCTGATCCTGGTTGGCGGACGTCGCGGAATCTCCGTTTGATGAAGACATGTTGAAGCGCTGCGGAGCTTCGGGTTCGAATTTGAAGGAGGGTATCAAAGGTATAGGTGAAAGCTCAGCTAGTGTTGTACTCGGACGATTTGTCCTGTGCCCTTCACAGCGCGGATTTTTGGATGCGGAGGTGCTTGGTGGTAGGCCTTGTCGAGTGCTCTTGTGTGCGTTGAGGGTTTGAAAGTCTGAGTTGGGAGGATGCTCGAAGACAAGAGACACGGGGGCAGAAGCCGACGCGGGCAGCCTATAATTTATTAGCCAAATGCTCGTACGTTAGGAGGATAGCTCCGAATTCGCGAACTATGGGTTGTCGCCGCTGTCACCCACGGATCCGGCGGTCGCGTCGAGCGCGCGGCGAATGGAAGGGCATGCTTTGAAAATGCAGCAGTTCACACAGCGTTGGTGACAGTGCAGCTTCCAAGGTTGCATGAAAGAGTGAAACTTACTTCGCTGTTACCGGCTGGTTACAGGACACATCTTGCGAGCGTCTTGCGGTGATGCAAAGAGGCGTTGATGTTCATTGTGAGTGAGTGAGGTAGGTATGGTGTACTGTGGGCGGAGTGGTGTGCGCAGTAGACGGATATTTGTGTGGTGATGGCTCGGGGCGGTAGCGAAGGATGTCAGCCGTAATTCGCGGGGAGAGAGAAGTAGTGGATTATAATGAAGGCTGGTGTTGTGGAAGAAATCGGGCGGGTCGCCCTAGCGCGCCTTTCACTGGTCCGAGCCAGATGCGTCGGAATCAATCCGCTGGCTTGGACCGCCGGTTCCAGGGTCCGCCAAGCGCCGTACGTCACTTGCCGCACCTTCCCAGCGGTACTTTGGCTATGCAGGAACGCAGAGCATATAATTCATCGACAGCAATCTGTGGGCTGTGTGCTAGTTCAGTCTTCTGGTACCAGCAAACAGCGCGCGGACCCCGCACCAGTCTTGTCGTGCCTTGCCAAATGACGGCAAGCACAGAGCAAGCGCCAGTAGCACCTGGGCAGTGGGCAAGCTTCGCTAGATTCGCTTCTGTTCCAAGGCGAACCGCCCCGCTGCATGGCTCCGACCTGGGCGGCGCGTCTCAACACTGTCTCGCTCCCGTGCCTCAGCGACAGGCTTGATACTTTACAGCGCCGTTGATCTCGTCATCGCTCCACTCGCAACCTACGGAGCGGTGGGTCTCTAGTGCTTGGGTGAACCACGACGTGTTCGCCAGAACCGCGCGGAAGAATCGGCACAGAAGAGACGCCAATAACACAGTAAGCGCATCAAAGCATTACTGTAGACGGCAAATGCCAGTAGGCGAAGCTTATGGGCTGTGTTCGTTCCCAGAGCAAACCGACTATCCGAATACAACGATATCATACTTCGCCTTTGCCCAGCTTCTATGCCATCATCCAGGCAATATTCATAGCCGTTCATCCCGAGTTCTCCTGCTGTCCGAGTCTTGTGGCCGTTTCTACATCATTGCAACCACGTGGCCAGGGCCTGGACGCTCTGTGGAACTTAGCAGAAAGTATCTCGAAATCTCTATGACGACTCCGCGACATTCCGTAGACATCAGCGTATTCGAAGGGGTCAACTGCAGACCGCAGTCGGAGGTCGCGGCACGATTTCGTGAAATTTCTCTGAGTTGAACATTTCAAAGTTCCATCGCACCACTTTCACGTGAAGACTCTCGTGATCGGCAGCTAACCATGATAGGCTAAGACTCATTTCCCCAGAGTCTGTGCTGACCTGCTGGACCTCGGTCACTCCACTGAATACAGTAAACATCGTGACATTTCTCACATCCTCAGCGTATCCCAGTAGTCCCACGTTCTCCAATTGAGCATGGAGCCTCCACGCTCGACATCCCGATCGCGTCGCTCCTACCCGAACCTCCACAATCTCTCCATAGCCCCGCTCAGCGCCAAATACCCTCTCGATGCATCCGTACCACCTTCGCCCGACGAGCAAGGCACGCGCACCCCTCGGACGTCGTACATCGCGCAAAAGTCTGCACCTACAACGCCAGGTGTTTTAAGCCTGAGCCAAAGCCGCAGCAGTTCACGGCAGCGCCCGAAGAAAGCATACGCATACGACAGCTACTTCGTCAATCCCCGTGCCGAAGTTCGCGATGTCGGCGACATTCCAAAAGCAAAGAGTACCAGTGTTCTACACCCCGGCGTCAGCTTTGCCGACGAAGTGCTCGGAGTAGATGATGGGAAAAAGAGACATCATTCGAGGAAAGGCACAGCGCCTCTACCGCTGCACTCACCACTCGTAAAGCATCACACCAAAGAGTCAAATGAAGAGTGGCTACACCGCGCTGGCTTGGCAATTGCTGGAGAGACGAGGGATAGCAAGGGACAGGGTTGGCTTGTGAGACGAGAGAGCTCCACCAGTCTAGTCGGACAAGGTGATGAGTACGAGAAACGCTCTTCACATGATGACAGGCCCATGGCTCTACTCTCTGGCGAACATGTCGGTGACGCGGACTTTCCTGTGTTCTTCTCTCCGCGCATGTCCAGGGTGGGGAGTCGTATCCCCAGTCGCGTAGGCTCCCGAGTACCCAGCGCACGACAAAGTCGAAGGGGCAGTAGGGTAGGGAGTCGAGCCGATCTCATGATGTCTGCTGGATCGAAACCGCAGTCAGGAAGAGCCAGCTTCGAGATCTCTGAGCTAGACGAACGCTTCATTGAGCCTGACTTCATCGAAGCAGACGAAGAAAGCGATGGCGACGAGGAAGAAGTCGCTCGTTTGGCGCGCGAACGCGGGTTCGGGCTTGGAGGTTGGATGGATCGTCTCATCGGATGGAC